ATAGGCCCGCGGATTCAGCGATCATGACGCCCAAGGTTATAAGGCTCCTCGTGCAGTGTGTCGAAGACCATAGTAGAAAATGGCGTGAAGATCGGCGGTGGCTCTTTCGGCTCCGACGATGGAGAAGATGGCATCGAAGGAATTCGGCCATCCATGGAAGACTTGGGGCTGGCCGAGAGCCCAGCCTGCTCCATGAGCTCGTTCCGGCGAGCCTCTCGTCGTTCCTTATACCGTGCTCGAAGCAATCCGAAAGCCGAAATTGCAAAAAAGAGAAGAAAAAAGACCGGTACACCAATACCGACAGCCAATCGGTCTGATTTAGTCTTGATTTCTCGTGCTCTTGTGAATAAGGAAGGCTCGCCGCTGCTGGTGACTGGCGATGGAGTGCCAGGGGCGGCGGTCGTAGGTGTCGAAAAGAAAACCACGTAACATATGAGGGTTGACAGATTACCGATGTGATTGCTCATTCTTCGATGCCCAAGCAGTTGCTTTATATACCCTACTATGCGAAAGATTCTAGAAGGGGGGTTCGGGTATAAAGATGAAGGATAGCTTTATACTTCGTGCTTGAGTTTACCGTCTGAATTGCTTGCATCGTGGGCCTAAATAAGAACTCCATGTTCATTGATTCAGTTACATGAAAGAGCAGCGCCACACCTGCTCTGCCTTCGTGAGGCTAAATACCCACGCCAAGCTTCTTCGCGAGCAATACGGTGTGTTCTGAAGGGCCTCTGGCAGGGGTTTATACACACCAACTTGCAAGTGGGGTGCCAGGCAGCGCAAGGCTGTGCAAGCTCTAGTTCAAGTCTTGCATACACAGCTTGGCAAGTCAGTGGAAATGAAAATTGTGCCTGGGCACTATTGTTTATAGAATAATACCAACAATGGCGAACGCAATAGATATTTGTAAAAACCGTTGCAGATTAAATATGGTTGTGCACTGATGAGGCCGACTTCATGGCGTCGCATGCCAGATGATGCACAGGCCAAGTATGACAATACTAATATTGGCAACCCGATATACGGGAGACCCGACAAGTGTAGAATGTTCAGTGTGCATCCTCCCGATGTGTCTGGTGTCTCTCAACTTCGAAATAAGGTTTATCTTTCAAGTCGAGAGAAAGATTGGTCACAGTTACTAGTCCATCGTTTTTCTGTTGGTGTCAGCTTGGGCATTTGCAAAAGTAGGGGATGGGATGATCGTACTACGACAAAGCTGTAGTTTGTCACCAACCTGAAATTCAAAACCCCGATAGCAGCAGACTGGGAACATGCATTTTGTGTCCGAGTAATGGTTACTCTCCGAGTCTGCATCGATTGTGTCCTGGATTGGTTCCCAGCGACTTGAATAGGTTAAGGGTGGCACGAAAGAAAAGGATATTAAGGTTGTTTGTTTTGCTGTGGGTGAGAGGGGTTGTAATTCATTAGGAGTGATCTCCTCAATAGTAAAATGGAATGAAGTCTATACAGGTAAGGCCACGAAGCGACCAAGGGGTGTTTTGCAATACCACCTTTTAGTTCAATCATTTGACATTTGACCTCCCAAGAGACACGAAAAGATTAGACTTGTTTGCCTAGTTTTTTGGGTCGGATACAAATGGGTCCTCTTGTGTTTCCATGTCCTCGGACAGCAGGAAACGGAGCCTAATAAATGCAAGGTCTAACAGTCGCCTGGCACAAAGGCTCTCATCTTCGCGCTAACCTAAACCTCCTATTTCTAGGCACTTTTAGATGTAAATTCTATACTTAGGTAGACCATATCAAAGTCAACAAATCAATTTTATAAGGCCTCAATTCAACATCTAGGTGCGTTTGACTTGATGAATATTTAAAGGCGTTTGAATTAATTAATTGGAAGCGCGGCTAGGTAGAGTTTAAGTATTAATACCTGGATCCCGTCATTTCCGTGGATAGCGTCAAGTTGGCTGTAGCCAAGATCTCGACGAGGAGTGTCGTGGTGTTGCTTCAGCCTTCAGACGGCTAAGGAATCATGTCTACGGGATACACTTCGCATTGGAAACGGATGCCTGGGTCTTAATTAATCAAATCAATGGGGTTGTAGATGATATACCCGGATCCTATGTAGCGATGGATAAGCTATGTCCTTCTTTTCGACTTCACTACTCGCTATCCCTGGGAATAAGAATGGCATTGCAGATGGTCTCTCAAGAAAGCCTATCAATGAAGAAAACCTACTATAAGAAGAGGAAGAAGGAGACCTGAATGGCTATATCGAGAAGCAGTTCATGACTATCTCCGTGACCGGTCCTGAGAAACCATAGCGTGGTTTAAAGAATAATGGAAGGGCCACCTAAGTGATTTTACGAAGATAATGCAAGATCATTCAACCACACTACAGTGAGACCAGCAGCAGCCAGCGATGAAGAATTTAGGAGGATAAAGGCACAAGCGAAACACTTCAATTTCTCTCATGTGATATTACGGAAGACCAGATTGGTACCATCCCGAGACAAGGTTCCCTCTAATTTACCTGGCCCTCCGACAATCCATGATACTATGACGTTGACATGAAGGGCTCCGACTTGGCGCCCCTACTACCATGTTCGGAGATTACCTATAACGTAGTACCCCCTGCTGGAGAAACGCTCCACGAAAATTCCTCCCTGGAGGCCCACGCATCGGTCATAACACGGATCGGGGAGGATGCCGATGTCTTCCGATAGAACGGTTTATTAAATGCAAGCTTGATAAAAAGAGCGAAATGATGCGAGCATTAGAAATGGTCTTTGGTGGCGGGAGGTGGATGTGCTTGGGGTGGGGAGGAATAGCTATCATGGAGTTATAAAAGAAATTCCCGCTTCCCTCTCTTATTCATCATGACTTTGCTACGTTGGCTTAGTTGTCTCAAGTCTCATAGACTAATGCTATCAGCATGCTAAAGTCAGGGGGATCAATATAGCCAGCAAATTGTTTAATGGAGATGCCAAGTTGATAAGGATCACAATGTCCTCTCGGACCCAGGGGTATGCAATGGAATATCAGCGGTCTAGCTAGGTTAATATTAAATCTCGCCTCACTTTCCTAACTAGGTAGCAATCTCACCTCCCTAACTATCCACCGACTTGTTCAATGGCCGGAAAATCTCACGTCAATGACACTAACACTAGCGTCTTGGAGCCTTTTGGGCTCCTTTTCATGCTACTTTGCTCCGGATTTAGTATTACACGTACCAGTATCTAAATTTGACGCGTTGAGTTTGGGGCGGCAACCTGAAACCTAGTAGCATTGATTCCTCTTGAGATGCCAGACATGTCGACACCAGGACGATAAGTAAAATAAACCCTATCATCATTATGCCGTAGTGAACATTGGCTCTTGAGGTAGACTGAAAGAACAAACGTTGAGACGAGCGAAGCAGCTTCAAGCAGTAACGAATGGAACCAAAGCTTAAGGCTGGGATGGATTATGTGTAGCAAAAGGGCACGATCCGGACCCTTACTTATAGTTAAATGATTCACGGGACTTTTATTACTTGATTTTACTTGAGCAGTTATCATTTAAATGCGTCTGGCATGAGTGAGGTCGCTGATTTGCCGCGCACTCATCGCTATTTTCAGTTTAACCCACCCCAGGCTCTTCACGCTCAAAATGGAGGACCGGGTGGCTAAGACGTATCTGAAGCGAAAAATTCACAATCTGTCTTGAAGCTCACGCATATGATTTTACTTTCCATTCGAAAAGCTGTCTATTAATGAGGCAGGAATAGAAGGCCCGGGTTTTCGCGGGTCATGCCTCTGAACAGCACGATACAAGGAGCCGTTTTTCGCAGCCTAATTAAAAATGTATGCTTTTTCCTTCATTTAATTAAGACCCTAACTTGTGACTAACGAGTGTATTGACTGACTGATTGCGTTGCCTCTGTCCATTGAAGCCGGCTGTGGCCTTCAGAGGCGCTGTGCTTCCTTTGTGAGAAATCCCTCTCTTCTGAATCCGCTCAATCGCTTGAGATGAGGAAGGTCTTGATATAATGAATCGTAATGCGGGTGATGAAGCTGTCAATTGACGCGATAACCGCTGTGTGCCATATGACCTTTGTTGTTGTGGTTGTAGGTGTTGTGTGTGCGTACAGCTTCCTCTCCCCCGCTTCATTAACAACCATCGCGCGCAGGCCGGGTTTATGGACAGTACTAGGGACAGTGATTGGATCAACTTAACATTATTAAAGTAGTTCAACAGCCTGTTACATGATTCAACAGCCTGTTATCTAGTAAAATAAAACAGGCTATCAGGGACCTAACAGTTATTCTAATATCAACATACTGCCAGCCACAAAGCCCTGTTAGCTTCAATCAATCGCCGTCTCCAGTACTGTCAGGAGGCTAGCTCGATCAGCAGCCTAACACCATATCAAGACCAACATTAGCTGCAGCTATTGCAGCTATCGTAACTGCCCTATCTCTCTCGTGCCTTGCTTTCCAGTTGGAAAGACAGCTGCCTTCCATCCAATTCCATAGATTACTGTAGCCCACCCACCTAGCTGAGTCTTCTGTCTTTCTTCATGACAAGCAACAGCTGCGAAGCCGACCGGCGTGTCTCTCGTGACGACGAGAGATCGCTGTGAAGCTGACCTGGCTGTCTTCCGCCAAGACGAGTGACCGGAAATATCCAAAATATTTTCTATTAATAGTAAAAGTTTTGGTTATGATGTTAGCGCTTGACAGGCTGTAGTACTGTCCATAACCCCACACTGCGCGCGATGGAAGTTATCCTAATCTTATTATGAGGCAAGAGAAAAAAGTCCCAATCACCTTCCTAACTCGGTAGGTGGTCGTCTCACCTCCCAGCAAGGGTAGTAAAATCTAAAACGAGATCTATTATATCCCTAAATATAGCTCTATATAAACACCTAATAGTTATAAATTCCCCCATCTCCCTTCTTTTCTCCTCGGCATAATAAACAATATCATCTACCTTATTAATTAATTCCTTTATTTTTTACAACTCTCACCTTTGTCCTTACGGTCCTCAGATATAACAAGATGCCTATTACCTTCTCAGACCCCAGTGGCCCTGTCCCTGTTCCTCGCCAGAATGAAGCGATGAAAGTGCTGAAGAAGGCTGTCAGCAGCAAAGATCTCGCGAAGTACCCTTACTGCCATATTACGTATGTCTCTCACCCGACTGCTTATAGAGTTAGTGCTAACCCTGACTCTCCTAGCTTTGGTAAGGGCGGTTCATTTCACTACCGCTGTTTCTCAGGCCGAGAGAAGAAGATCGGCCAGCAAGGTCCTGCAGGCGCGGGTAAAATCTAATTCTGCTACGAACAAGGGGCTCATGATGGGCCGCATGGGTCACGTCCCAAGCAGGAGGAATGAGAGCGTTGCCTCTTATTGCGGGACCCTCAAGAGCGCAAAGGACGGAACGCTCCTAGCGCTCTAGAAGTAATATATATATACATTCAATGCATTACCTAGAAACACTCTATTAGACAGGTATCAATACAATCGCTGCCGCCTTCATTGAAACTAGCTCCTTAGTGCTCGCACATTAGCAGTGACTCGCACAGCACAAGACAACCTCGGTATCGGATCAGGTGCCAGCACCTCTTTGGTTGAAGGAGTCGCCCGGGCTGGGAATGGTTTTGCACAGACAGTTCAAGACAATGAAAAGATGGAGAGAAAGGTGGTCAGGATGCTCAAGGGGGCTCTTTTACCGCACATCAACAACTACGGTCTTAGTACCAAATACGAAACTGGGGACGTGGAAGAAGAAGATTTTGAACTCATCGAATCTGTCATGTACACCCTGCATATCGATGTTGGAGAACAGAACTCTTCGGATCCCGCTCCGGTCGAGGAAACAAAACCAATCACTCTATTTGGTCCCAACACTGACGGCGACGCTGCTACCGGTGACCATTCTGGCAACTCGGGCGACGATTCTACTCCTCTCCCGACGGTTACATCGCCTAGATACCTACAGACCCCATCTAAGATCTCAACCCTCTATCCCTTCAGCAGAAGCACAGTCTACATTCTGTTCTCCGACTCCACCCCACAGAAAAACATTAAGTCATCCTTCTAAACGGCAAAAGCCAGCACGGCCGTCTCATTCTAGAAATCCCTGTTGCGGTGCTTCCTACAGGGTCTACAACAATCCATCAACTCGCTGCCCGAAAGGACACAGTAGAGCTTGATGAAGGCCGAGGGTGGCTGGCCAGTGCTGAAGGGAATGGTAGAAAACTCTTGAGTGAGGTTTACGGTGATGATTTGCCGGAGCTGCAGAAGTGTGAAGCAATGAGACTGGGCGAGAAATTACAGGTTACCGGTAAATGGACTTCTTTTGTCGCTGTGTTGAGGAGCCACTACGTGGTAAATCAAGCAGCTCCTAGAAACATGGAGAGAAAAAAACAATCCTCTCAGCGATTCTGGGCATTGCGGCAGTCCTCAAATCCAGCTGGCGAGCACAGCAGCCAGCCCATCGGCCCATGTTACAGGTTACGTACATCACCGAGCCCTTCAAGTTCCGGCGAGTTCCTATCAAGAGGATTTCATCGACTACAGCGATGAGGTGCATGGTGTTTCTTACTCGCCGTCATGTGATGTCGAAACTCGGACAAATGGCCCTACTCCCCAACCCAGTCGCCGTGATAGACCCGGTCAGGTTTTTGATATTGAAGCGGAAGTTGATGACGAAAATGAGGCGGAAGATGAAGATGCTGCACCACCATAGCCAAAGAAAAAGCGATTGAGATTGAGCAGCCCCGAAATCGACCTTCCAAACAAGCTCTAAACACTTGTTTCACTCTAGTCATTTTCTGGAAATTGGGTGTGGCGTACTTCACTTGAAAAGGTGCTGGGGCTCACATTTGAAGATTTTCTCAAATTGGAGTTTCCTCACAAGGTGGCCGCGCATTATAGAAAGAACGATATACTAGCTACTGTCTGCGCAATAGTTTTCCTAGAGAAGAAATATGTGCCAGATAGGGAGTCCTGGGAAATGTTGGTGGGAAAGGCGAAACTGGCTGAAGGACCTAATCAATGGCGACGTTGAGAGTTTGAAAAAGGTCGTCCGCACTCGTTTGTAGTTCTCAATAGATTTTTTCTATATGAATATTATGGTCTTTTCTTCTTTACTTTCCTTCCCCAGTAAGTAAGACAAGAATCGACGTCGTTACTGGCTGAGAAATTGGCAAAAACGGGGATAGATTTTAGTTCTATTGAAGTTTGGCCCTACTAAGCCAGCGAATATCTCTGAAAGTTCGTCGAGACTAGTAAGACAAGGAAACGACATGAAATTTGAAAAGAGTGACTTGAACTATATATCAAAGCTATATAGCGCTACATTTGATAGGGGGGTTTCTATTGTAACTCAGCTTTCAACATCAGAAGGCACAATCCCCCTGGACAGGAGAAAACTTAGTCTAATGTCTAGCTGCGTTATAAAGAAGTGGGAGACTCACGGGGCCTAGCATTGTATGGATTAGAGGGGGGAAGAAAAGACAAGGGAAGATAGTTGGCCAACTAACCTTGATGATTGCTTCATTTACGGAAGAGAGTTCGAGTATAAAGTTAAACAACAATAGAAGATGCCAGACCCGACATCTCAAGACAATGAATGTGAAATCAGGATAAACTGAAAATATCCAACCGTTTCTTGTCACCAAGAACATTATCATGAGCTTTCAGATGGAACAACTTCCTGTGCGTCAAGCCTGACCCGTAGGTCTTTTGCGGCCCTCTCAAGCTCGTTCAGAGGTCTCAGCCCACCCCCCATCCTCTGACGGCACTGGCCCCCCAAGGCGACGAGCGTGGCTAGTGAGGAGTCCTTAACATCCTCATAAACCAGAGTGCTCTCCCTCTGGTGGTTTCTTTGACGCCTTGATTGGTATATCATTGTAAGGACTACAAAGCCAGCCGCAAGCGCGTTCTCGGCAGCCAGGAATGAAATCCACCCCCAGTTGATACGCACATATGACTCATCTTTCCAGGCCTGTCCAGTGAAATTTAAGACGTTCTCAGAAGTAAAATCAGTGTTAGGGGCACGCATCCTATACGAGTCAGACAAGGATTGGTCAATACGTTGAAGTACCAGGGGAGTTCAACTAACTTGGATGATAAGACCGTGGCAACATTTGCGAAAATATTTAGAATGCGATCGTTTCGCTCTGACGTGTTTAGTAAGTAACCTTGAGGGAACAGAACGTCTGTGTGAAGATGATAAGGAAAGTTTTGTCCTATGACAGAAGTCCGAATATCATTAAGTTGGGGGTTGTTGACCATGCTCGAGTAGCCTTGGAGTGAATGTGCCATGTCTACACCTATAGTCTCCATGGATGTGTAATCGATACCAAATGTTTTGTTATCCGTAGATCTATTTGGCCCCTCACTGTTGATAAAAGGAGCTTTTAAATACATTGTTTTGTTGTGCCGTAGCTTGTTCGTTGGGCAATCCATACGGAGATCGTTGACTAACGAATCGCAAGTAAGATCTAGAAACGCCCCGGGATCCTTGTTAAGAGTCTCGAAGGCGGACTGTTTTATTCGAGTGATCTCTTTACCCATTCGTACAGTTGTATTGTATGTGTGAACGCAAAGATGGAAGAAGAACTCCAAAGCCTCGAACTGGAACCCACTGGTTGAATTTAACATCGTTTGGAAGGTTGGTTGTGTGCCGTTTTCAAAAGGATTATAGAGCATAATGGGCTTCGCGAAGATAAGCACCATAGAGAGAAGCCTTGTTCGCATCAAGTCGCCGCTATTCGGGAAACCAATACTTTCACTTCCGTTCAACATGCCTAAAATCGAGGCAAAGCCAGTTTGGCTTATGAGAACTGGACCCCCAGGGACAGACGCCTTCCATACCTTCCCTGCCCCAGGGAGTATAACGGGGAATTTCGTCAAGGAATCGAAAAGCCTAATGCCTGTTGGCTCATCATCGGGTAGCTGCTCGATGCGCAACTGTGAGGAGATGTTGGTCGTTTCTAGGTAGACACCAAGCGACGCATATGTATCAAATGTACAATTTCCGGTTGAGCAAGAAGCTCCCTCGGGCTCAATGGAGGTCCGAAATTGATTCGTGTCCAATGCTGTTGATAAAATAAGTGCTTGCATGACGGAAAGATGAATTGAATCTGGATAGAAAATCGAAGGAACGATGCCAACATTAGCAATTCCTTGAACAGCTATACTTCTAATCGGATAGCTGATTGCGAGTTGGGTAATCGGAGAAGTGAAGAGGCTTGCAACCATAAGAAAAGCACCGATACTGGCAAAGTGTTTGAAGTGGATTCGCTTTAGGAAGACCAATGAGCCCCAGGGTCCTCTGCTGGCCTGGTCAAAGGTATGAAAGTCATAGAGTGGTCGCTCTTGCTGGAACCAGTTCCATTGCGCCTGACTGATCGCGACGGATACGGGAACTGTAAGAGCAGCTTTGGAACTTATGGCGAGAAATGCAACGAGAGTGTTCAGTGTGATGGCTAGTGGCCAGTTTGGTAAGCTTTTATCGTTCAGCTGTATAAAAGCCACGACGATTGCTTCAATTACCCAGTTAACACGTGCTGGCCTCAGAGTAAACTAGGGCACACAAATTCATACATACCCAGAAACAGTACGATGCCGAGTATGATGAAGACAATCTCAAGAACCCACACTTTGCATATAGGATAGAATCCAATGTTCTCAGAGTCTTCCCGTTTCTGCTCAGAGTCTTCCCGTTTCTGTACAGACTCGGATGCAATGCGTTTATTGTGCGGACCCATTGAGTCAAGCTCATTCAATGAGGGGACAATTTCTTGAGGAGCCATATCGTCGGCCACACATGTTACTTCCTCTATGCTCACTCCAGAAGTGCCGGTGAGACTTGGAGCCGGTGCTGATTCATTGAGGCCCGTGCGATGATCGATCAGGTAGAGTGAAGAGCGTATGAGGGGGAGCGAAAGATCCGTGGATTCGGTTTCGGATGTTCGGATTTCTCGCTCTTGCTGATTTGGAGATGCCATTTTTCCTTCATTCATCACTCACAAGGATTTAGTTCCGGGAGAGAGTTGGAGTATAAAGTTAAACAAAAATAGAAGATGCCAGACCCGACATCTCAGCACAATGAATACAGGGATTTAGTTACATATTTAAGCACAGAAGATGGGGGGTTGTCACGTAGTTTATTCTCTGTCCATATATGCATAATAAAAGAAGGAATATATATCTCATCATAGTCGCCCCAAATAGAACTTACTGCTGCAAATAAGCAGACTGTGCAGAGAAAAAGCCTGAGAGGCATAACAGCACCCTGTACAGGAAATGATCACCTTGAAATGGGGGCTGTTACCCACTTTCCATTCCTCACATGCACTCCTAACAGCCACCTGCACAAATACGAGTACAGGATTTCTTACGTTAGTCATATAATATTTTCATTTTCTAACAATGAAGTTTTGTATTCTTAGTAAAGCTTCGAGCTTCGAGCAACTGAATAGCTGTTGCTGGCCATTCCAGAAACTTGGAATGGTCCCCCTTGATTTCTAATTTTAGTGCCGCGGTAATGTGCTCTGCCCAGCTATGAATATACCAGGCTTTTGTCATAGTTTTCAACAGAGGCGCAAAGTAGCCGACCAAGAGTAAGGCCAGATTGTTGTCATCCTTGTTAAGGCATGATAGGAAGGAATCCTGCATAACATACAGCCATATAAATACCATCTTGAACCTCGGGGAGCATTTGAATCCACCCTGGTCGTCGCCAAATGTAGCCTCGTAGATATTCTCCAACACTTCCAAAGACGCAAGCAGCACTTCACAGTCGTCGCTCTCGCATGAGATGATCCAACGGCGTAGCTCCCCCAGGGGGCCCGACCATTCTATTTTTGGGAAGTTTTGGCATACGCAGCTAGGACGTGGATCCTCTTCAGGCGATGTCCCGTAAGGATTGTTGAAAGGAGACATGAGCCCCGCAAAGAGAGTATCTGCGCCAAAAGTCTCGCGCAAGACGGCAGTACCCTTGGCTATAGAAAGCCACCGCATTGGTGTGCTCTTCGATATATCGCATACAAGGAAATCCTTTGATCCCGAGGGCCCTCTAGCAAAGGTACAATAGCAGAGGAGAATAGTTGATAAATATGTGGCACCACTAGTTGCTGGACTAACATTGCGGAGAGCCTCATTTACCTTGGTGAGGCCTGACTCGAAATGTTCATCGGCCAAGGAGACATAATGCGAACGGTTTTGGTGGTGGAGGCCCGTGCCAAGATAAAGAAGATGCCGGGCGGCGAGAGCGAGGCAAAGATGTAACACTGCCGGCGAGCCACAACCGACAAGCGGAGCATTGTGTGACCAAAATCGCGTGATGAGATCGTCTCTATCATCTGGGTTGGCTAGACTCGGCCCAGTAGATGTGGTAAAGTGATGTAGTAGCTCAGCTTGGTCCAAATTCAGGAGAGACGGGCCATGATCAATGGAGCCCGACGTTGAAGCCGGACTGCTGGACTCCTGCTGTAGCGATAACTCAATAGCTGACCAGTCCTTGCGTGGCCGTCCACGAATTTTGTGAAATATTTTGCCGCGCTCAGCGTGTGAGCCATGGCTGATATCAGATGAGCACTCCCCTCCCGAGGCACTAGTAGAAGGAGACGGAGAGAAGCTGCACGGAATGCGGAAACTGATGCACTTGCCACAATCTGGTTTGGATTCGTCACACTGCCAGTGAAACAGAGTCAGATTCGAATTGGAAGGCTCACATAAGAAGAGGGATTTTCACCTTGATCTTGCGCCTCTTACACTGGACACATCCGTTTCTCGATTTTCAGTGGGTTCTCTTAGGGTGTGCCTTGGGCAAACCCATCTGGGTAGGGCTTGGATTTTCCATCAACGGTACTCTTGCATTGAGCTATCTGGTGTGAAAGACAGCTCGAGCTTAAGTATCAGGGATGGTTGTGCCGAGAGAAAACGAATATTCTCTGGATGGTGGCTTTGGTCTGTCCCACAAGCATTAAATGGGTCCCCTTAAATCTTTTTCGGATTTGATGCGTAAATTATCTTATTGGTCAGTTTCACTCCACTCTCAAACACCCATCACTGATCAGCCACAAGCATGACGTCGGCGACTCGTGTTATCAATAGCTCATGAAACAAGTGATGGGCACATTTCTGTGACATTTCTGAGCGATTTTAGGGTGGCAGAGCCAGTGGTTCGCCAATTTGCAAGCATTATCGAAACCACTTGCTTCACAAGCCACTTGACCAATGCGACAAAGTGATCTCGAGCTTCCCACGTATTGTGCCAACCGCCATTTTTTTTAATGGCAGTAACATGAATGCCTCAGTCGCCTAAATTTCTCAACATATTCCGACGCGCATTCTAAGTGTCTAATTTAAGTATGGCAATCCAAAACCTTGAAGTTCTTGTCTACATAGACGGTTACTGTAGAGGCTCGATTTTGCTTCCTCTATAAATCGGCTATTTCCAATATTTCTGGTTCCAATTCCAAGGACCTATAGATTATTTGCTCGGCGCGTCTTGTATTTCAGTCGCTAGTAGGTCTAATAAACATTCATTCCTCAACGTTATTTGGGTTTAAAGAGCATGAAGTTGCTCCAGGCCCATCGTTCACAGAGATGACGCAGCGTCTAAAATGCGTAAACTATCCGATTGGTGCTTCAAAAACAAGCCAATGGGGTATCCACTCCTCACTTACAACATCGGCCCTGAATCATGCTTGATGGATTAAAGAGAGATCAAGCCCGCGGGGGTCTTTATTTTTTTATCTTGTCCGTTCTTCTCATTTTTATATTCGCTTTTCACTGCGCAATTACTCAGCTTTTTCATTAGCATCTATTACTTCTCGACATATCTCCCTGCTTCAATCCGTTAATTAAACACCCCCCAGAATGGGCTTGGTTCAATTTGAAGACGGAAATGTCATCTACTATCCATATGTCCCCTCGGCCGGCGCTGGGTATGCTTTTCTGGTCTTATTCGGCCTGGTAACCCTGGTTCATATCGTGCTCATGTTCAAAACACGAACATGGTATTTTATTCCCATGATACTGGGTGGTATATGTAAGTTACATCCCAAAAGACGCACAAGTGTGGCTCTGATTGGAACTCAAGGCGAAACTTTTGGATATTACGGACGAGGTTGGGCTGGTAGTGAGCCCAATAGGCCTGGACCTTTCATGCTACAACTCATGCTCATCCTTGTCGGACCTGTCTTCATTGCAGCGACCATCTACGTCACCCTCGGCCGATACAAGCAAATGATGCTAAACGAACCGACGCGCCGCTGCAGCCCAACTTCATTCTTTATACTCACCGACATCATTGCGTTTTGCACTCAGATTGGTGGATCTCTAGTGCAAGTGACAGGCAATCTTAAAATCATGAAGATTGGCGACAAAGTTGTTCTGGGAGGGCTTATATTCCAACTCTGTGTTATGGCTGTCTTTCTTGCCTTAATCATAAGATTCTACAGGCTGGCTCACCGCACTATCCTTCTCCGTGGACGCTGGCGTTGGGCCATCATCATGCTGGCAGTCTCCATTGTGGTTATCTGGGTCCGCAATTTGGTTCGAGTAATCGAGTTCGGGCAAGGATTTCATGGGTTTGTCAGTCAGAACGAGGCTATGCTGTACATATTTGACGCGTTTCCGATGATTTCGGTGATGATCCTGTTCATTATCTTTCATCCTTGATTTCTGAGATCATCGAACGAGCGCTCGAAGGCATGACCAAAGGCCTTCGCGTCGTCAATAAGTCGAGTCCAAGTCTAGTTGCATGTAAGGTGGTTAGCTCACCTGGCGAGGGTCTAATAGTTTGCTTTATCTATCTCACGATATAGTTGGATTCAATATCTACGTTTTCAATCACTAAATTAAACTCTCTCAATATGTTATGGGCTTTCGAAAGACATTTATTCGCTCGTTTTGGACGGTAATAGCTACTAATACCAAATCTAATCTGAAGTTGAACTTATCATTGAACCATTTGATTGAGTCGTCCCTCAACTCAACCACAGAATGCTCAGTGTCCAAGCCTTTCGGGAAAGCGATATATGATTTCTCATCATGCCATAATACTAGAATAATCAAACCTTTCCTTCCAAGAAAAAGGATAATTACGTCTCTCAGTAACGATATTTCACGTAGAGTTGGAGTTATCAGCACAAGACCAGGCACCTGTGCCACCGGATGACTGAAACGACTCCATGATAGTTACAACAGAGCCATATGTGCCTGCAATCATCATGAAGGTGCCAGAAACGATCACAAAGATACTCCAAGCAACCATAAGGCACCATTTCAGCGACTTGTCCTTCTTACCCGATGTCCAGTTGTCATAAAGCCACATGCAGCCGTAAGGTTGGAAGCACATCAAGGTACCAAGCAGAGCTCCAATGAGAGACACGAGGCTGCTAAAGATTGGAATAGCACTCGCGATGATATATGCGACGATAGTCACGCCGCCCGTGCAAGCTAGCCAGGTGCCCCAGTGAACCATGTTGCTGGAGTTAAGGTGCGGCGTACCGCGCAGGAGCCTAATAAACAGATACTTGGCGGGAATCTTGGGAACATTTTAGTAACGTGGTGAAAAAGTAATAGATTGTTTGTACTTACATGCGTCATAAGCATAGCAGTGACAATCAATCCCGGGAGAGCAAACCCATAGCACACTTTCTTCATGACTGCACCAGCTGACCCTAAGGCTGGTGAGGCAACAGATGAGCCGCAATAGTAGTATACCACAACGCCAATGGTGATGTATGTGACGGTAACAATAGCCTGGCATGTCAGGAGGGACCGCGCATAATATTTGGGTTCTCGCATCTCAGCTGCAATAGAGAAGAAAGCAGGTGTTCCTGAGAACGCAAAGATGTGTGCAGAAACTGCAGATATACCATCGACGAATGTTGGGTTGTTGGTAAGTTGCCAATCGGATTCCCAGTGTCCATCAGTAGGAGCAGCAGCTGGGCGGTCTTGTACGCCAACTGCCACAGTAACGCAGAAGACTTGATCATAGGTTAGCATCCTAATGAACATTCTCAGGGACCCCGAGACTTACTAGATGTCATGATGCAAACTAAACCAACCCAGGCAAGCCAGCCAATACGCCCGAGGGTTCGGATACTCGAGAATCCAAAACCGAGCACAGCGGCGACAGCGACAAAGACTGCCGTGCAGGCGGCGTGAGTTGATACCGAATTAAGACCAATCGAGATTCCCAGTAGAGCGGAACCTGAAACAAAGATCCAATCTAGAGACTTATTAGTATTCGACAGCGCTGCACAGGCATGTACCTCTTACAAAGCATGAAGACAATAGCAAGAACCTCACGTCCGATGACACCGAACATCTTATAACCTGCATCGTCGATACCATAGACCTCTGGATGGTTGTGTTTGAAGGTCCCAATCATATAGTCTGACCAGGTGGTGATGACAGAGACAACAATCAGGCACAGAACTCCTGGGACCAGCCCCAGGGAGTGGAACGTTTTTGGAATAGAAAGCACCCCAAGACCAATCTGTGTCTTCGCCATGAGGGCCACAGTTGCAATCCATCCAAGCTATCATTTATACTGTCAGCAAGAATAGACAAATTACATCATGTGTTATGGCTCTTAATGTAAGCCCGTACATTTCTGTAGTTGGGACCACCCTCTGAAACTTCACCAAAGACAGCATCCTCAACGTGTGTCTCCGTTTCGCCATATTGAAAGGCCTCAGGGGGTTCGTTGGCTCTCGGGGAGGTCTTTGATTTCTTCATAGTGGCTGTATTTCAAATTCCAAGATCAAAAAAGAAGATTCCTCAAAGGCCAGCTTAGAGAATCAAAAGAGCATGGGAGAAGATGCTAACGCTTGAAGATCTGGGGAATCTGGTCAAGTGAGGAAAATTAAAGGGGGTCATGGCTCTGGGGAAGTGGTTCCCCTTTATAGGAAACGTTTTCTATTACTTGAAAGAAATGTCTTTCCCGTCTCAGATCAGCTTTTCATTACTCAAGAGAAACCTCCTCCAGATATCAAACCCCATTATGGGTCCCGTGGACCCATGGGACCCCCAGAGCCCCATCGGCCCACAGGTCCCTGATAACTGTGACGACGATGTTTCTATACCTAGTTGCCGGTTGCATCAATAAGACCGATGCGTGTGTTTATAATCCTAGTTGGGGGGAGTCAAGGCCGAGGAGTGTGCGTAAATGCCGAGTTCCCGAAACCATACTCAGTCTAAGTTAGTTGGTTCATAAAGGGGGGAAGTCTAGGAAACGCATATGACGATCCTACGATAATCGCACTTTAATCGTCACATATTTATATTGCTCTTCAGGAGTGGCTCTTGAAAAACAAGTGCGCCCACCGTTCAGCAAGGTTTCTTGCTAGTCATCGGCAAGCATTTGCCTTAAACATGAAACATGGCCCCAATCTCATAGAACGATGATATTGAGGCTTTTTCCCTTCTCATGAGAGGCTTCAGAGGGGAACCACGAAATTTAATATAATGATCAACCCTGTAATAGGTTCATCCTACTGTAAAAGTTGGCTAGCTAGCTGACAGCTTGTATGATATGTGGGGAGGACGGCATTTCGGAGCTGAACCCCGGGCAACGGCTTGAGACGTCGCCTTTATGCCGACCACGTGACCGCATGGGCGTGAAATCAAGAGGAAAAGGCCTCTTCACCTGCACCGTATGACAGAAAAGGCAGGTTCCTTCATCCATTCAGAAACTCGGCGAAACGCACCGTTCCGTGCATCCGTCCGTGCTGTGCAGACCCTGTCTCCATGTTGGATCCGTAATCCACTGGCTTCCATGGACGAACCAATATTCCCTCGCCTTAAGCAGCGTGCTCGGCTCGCTACTACCTGAGGTAGCAAGAATGTCACTAATGAATAATTCGACTTGCCGGGGCCCCTTGCTCAATCATGCTTGAGAAAGAAATACGAAAGAAAAAAGCCTCTGGAGCACTTGGTCCCTGATATTATGTCATTTTAGCTTAGTCTCTTTCCGGCCCCTTACATTGACGAGGGTTGATGGTTGGATGTGAAGTCTGTCTGCGGTGTAAGGCTGTCCGTTTCTCTTTTTTATGTTCTAATCCTAGGCGCTCTATATATCGAGCTACCCGGCCCTGAGATGATTTGGGATTTTTCACTGCGGCTAGCTTGCGATATATGTATTCGTGAAAGGGGGTTGTTGTTGCCTTTTTGCAGCACCATCTCGTACTCTAAGTTGAACGAGTTCAAAAGAGCAGGGTGAAATACTACATCACTCACCGTGAGCTGTTATACCCTCGAAGACGATCTCTTTATTACACACAATAAAACGGCCGGTGGCTGAATACTTAAAGTCAAAATCATACGAAGCCAACACTCATGCTCTTCGCAAAGTCTTTGACAGGTACGAGAATTTTAGTGAGCAATGAACATGTAGTGATCTATTGATGGGCGAGCTGTTAAGTCAATGACATGAGAGTGGATGGATGAAATTCTTCGCGACCTGGGATTCTGAATCCTAGTTGTATTGTTAGAGATTTCTCCACGCCTGATTCTTCCTTCCGTTTGAATTGAAGAGCAAATTATCCGGTACTAGCCACTCCAACATTAATTGGCAGACAACTCAGCAGACTTCTCGTCAAATACTGCCTTAGCCCTCCTCCAAACTCCCTCCTTCATCATTCAGACGACTCAGCGTCAACAAGCTAAGCAACAATAGCTGTGAGTACTCGTCACTTGATTCTCGAGCCACAAGGGTGGGTAGATGGTCAATGGCGACAACTGGAAGCTCAGATCCCGCGAGGTTTCCAGATACTAACTTGCCAAAGGAGCTATAGCTAGAATAGATAGGGGTGGGATTGTTCTTGCTATTCGGGTCACAGCTGACAACACGGAGCTGCCTCTCGGGACTAGATAGGGCTTCAAGTGCTGTGAAAGGAGGGGCGTCGTTAGGACCAAGGTAGACGCAATTGGTGAAAATATCCGACGCAGCGATCTCCGGGAAGGGGCCCCCTTTGGTCTCGGCAATATCTTGGGGTATTCCTGCTGCCAGACAATGGTCCACCGCGCCACTACCATCTTAAGAGCACCAATAATAATGATACGCGGATATCTCCCTTGATTGATCGAGTGCTGGTGCTAGATTTGTTTTAACTTGGCTAACCAAAGCTGAGACCGAGTCAAACGCAGGGACTGCTGGTTGTTTTGCCTGGAGATAGGAGCTGGTGACTCCAAGATAGCAATGCTATAGCAGCACCTGCATACCCTGCCCAATAACCGAAGGCGGCGACGCGGCGTCCATTTGCATCGCTCAAGGTCGTAAAGAGTCCCGTTGCCTCTCGTAAAACGGGAGAGAACCTCGGCATAATTATCCTGTTTCTTGAAATAATGCCCGAAATGAACAAAATTATGTCACAGAGGAGCTTTTATTATTAGCTATTTAACCTTTCCAGTGGTTTCAGGACACTTGCTGTCATTCTCGGGTAGCTCCTTCAGCCAAGGATGACATGTTCAAGGGGAGCGTTAACCCATGATCCAGGGTGATGAGCTTCGCGCCAATGCTCTCACTCGTCGTCCCTGTAAATTCGATCTGGAGATCGTTCAACACGAACGAGATAGCCCTCTCTCAAATAAGCAATTTAGCCTAAGCAGGTGGCACTTATGTACACAGGTTAGTGCCAGGTTTCAAGTAGGCAACAATATTGGACTACAAACAAGGCAACCGGCGCTCCAGCTGCTTGGTTTCAGCTCTTAGATGAATGACGGTGGACATCTTTTCGATGCTATGCCTTGCTTGATGAGTATTTTCCATCTATTCAATTGTAAGATTCTGATTCAAGACGGAGTTGGGCCGGCCCTTAAAGAAAAGCAAGCGCACGAGTCAAGGTGAGGAGCCACACGGACGCCTTCCGGTGCCGGAGTATCACGTCACGCAAAAACAAGCATCGATAAATCTTATCACTAGTCTTGTAATATAGACTTCTTTATTTTCATCTGCGGGAAAATGACATGTATCTTTTTATGATGTTGCAAAGAAGTACGTCGCAAGTGTCTTGTACCACGGTCCGAGTAACTTCGCCGAACTTGTGCAAACAGCTGAGAAATATCTTCGAGTTTTGAGGGAATGAGTCTCGGAAGCTCATAGCCAATATAATTCAGTAGCTAATTTAAACCCAAATTCCAAGGCACCCCACTTATTATCGGAATTGTTGAGGCATTTGGGGATTTACAAACAAAGCACAACACAACGCACCTAAAGGGCCCCGCAAGCTTACAATACCTACAACAGGAAGGGACTCCCGGCTGACTTAGAAGTCTTCCCACCGACATTCACTTAGTATATTGTATTGTCACTAGCAATCGCGTCCCTATCGCTATAGACGTTTCCCAGTATGCAGCACCTCCGGAGGCCTATGATACACTCTCAGCCTACCAGATCACCAATTTCTTCAATTAATATGGACTAAAAAGGGATGAAATCGATTATTTTGCGGCTAACCTTCTAGGACACTCTATCTCTGCTACTCTGGTGTAAGGCGCGACTAGCTATACGGTGTCAAGCGATGAGGTAGATTAAGTAGCCTAATTTAGGCACACATAGCTACCTATAGACCTCATCGAGCTAGCAAGGCAGCTGTATAGTGATTTTATCCCTAAATATAAGTCCTTAGGCATGTTCGGCCCAGTCTATGTGTATGTGGTAAATCTTATACCAGGGCCAGCTTTCTATTAAGTCAGGAAATAATTCGTTTCTCCTACCCCTTAAAATAAATAGCGCCTATAACAAACTGTGCAAGACTTTACGAGGTACGATGCCCCATTTAAGTCTTTTTCGTATATTTCTGGTTAACGAAAAGATATATATAGGTTCTTTACTTTAGTATAGATTAACAAGCATACCCATACAGGGGAGCCGCCTCCTGGCTTACTTAGTGAATACTTAGATATCCTGAATAAAGCCTCTATTAATTTGCCTCTCCAGCTATAAGATAAAGTAGACGAGGTTATCCAGGGCCTGTTAGAGCTCTTTCAAGCTAATTATTCTATGGTTCTTTAACATGATGACCTCTTGGTATGGATTTTGGTGTTCTCTATTTTCTCTCTTGTTTCTACAGTTTCTCCTGCTGGAACATAGGACCCTTGAAGTAATGTACGATAGGTAATTGCTAAACTGTATTCCTGTTTAGGAGAACAACATTCACGTTGATGGAGCCAGTGGTCATATTATAGGGAAGTGGTCCTACAGGATTTCCCCTCCTTTCACTTCGTTATTCTCACTTCATTGTTCGAGAGCGATGACCAGGGAAATGAACTAATTCTCTCATTATAGGTATCATTAATTAGGCTAATGCGAAGATTGCTCCATTTAGAGTATCTCTTGCGAGCATAGAGATCATCCTTAGTATCTAAACGAGAACCGATTAGCACTTTCACCCTAACCATTATAGCCTTCGGCAGTTATTTTAGGACACTTTCTACAGCGTGACCGGCCATATCTTAAATAATAATCGATATTTAATAGCTATTGCAAGGCTGTTCGGATTCTTCCGAAATTATAGTTTAGAGGAGAAGGAATACGCAATCGCGTATCTTTCTGCTTTGTGTCTGCTTTAAGTCCTTCCTTTTTTTTCTTAACTGCCTGCCTTCGGGTCGGGTTAAAGTCACAGGCTATAATTGCAAGCGATGGCCCAAAATGCACTCACATGGGGTATTATGATGGCGTGGAAAGCGTTGCGCAGGTGATCGTTTCGAATGCCAAGGCCTGTCTTTAACAGTGGAAGAAGAGTGACAACGAGGATTTAAAGTAGGTAGATTACCCAAAATGGGCCATTACTCTCAGCTAGGTAATTCTGAATTAAAATATAAGCTTAATCGAATATGTAGCCACCTCGTCAAATGCTCCTACGCAACGAGTCAACCGTATTTTTGGCTCGCTCATAACAACATTTGAAATATTTTCTACCTAATTGTGAGCCAGCTAGATCGCTTCATAGTCAACGATTTATCTTCTACTTAGATTATGTCCATTTGGTATTTCCAAGGCTCAGATCACTTATTAGTCGTACAAAAACATACTTGAAATCATGCAAGAAGAGGCTGAAATATGAATGCCGAACGTATTCTTTCATATTCTAAACTTAGTTTGAAACCTCTTTGGTGAGATATATAGGGTAGGTAGGATGGTATTGGGAACCGCAGGCTCCTTGCTGAGCTGGCTTCCATCAGTGAATTTGGGCAACCCAAAATCAGAACATTCCCCAAGCACGAAGCACGAATACGAGGTATAGAAAGCGTGTAATACCGTCCTGTGCGAGAGTTGCTGATAAATGATGCGCCATCCGATGGAGCCGCGATCTGCCTTGCGTTAGAAACGTGTCTTGAAAAGATTTAAGCTGTGGAGGACGGAATTAGTGACATGAGCTGAGGAAGCGAACGCTGGCCAATGATTGCTCCTCCTTTCTCCCCGAGCTCTCCATACCGGTCACATCTGAAGAGGTCTAGACCCGTGCGGCTGAGGTACAGACCCCTGTCAATATTCAGCATGTGCATTGTTAGGCTCCCTCCACGCTTCATCTGGCTCCCGTTGGGCTAATCAACTCTTGTGTGCCATCCTCTAGCGAGATTCGTGCCTCTTGCCCAGCTCCTGGTGTACGGCGACATTACCTCACCTCCATGCTGATCTGCTCTTCGTCTCGGCATACTAGCCAGTGGCGCCAACACTTGCATATAAAGATCTGTCAGGGAGTCTCCGCAGATCAATCTGAGTAGCCAGTCGGAGTAGTGGCGAGTCGGTCGACGTCGACGTGCGGCGCGCGATTAAGCTATTTCGATTCTCATGGATCCATATCAACAAACTTCCGACTATGCGCCGCCAACCGGACCGCCGCCTGGTGCACCACCACAGGGCATCGTGCCTCCGTCCGGCCCGCCGCCTGGCTCTTTTCAAGGCCAGCCGGGTGTCCCGATGGGATACGGCCAGGCTCCCATCCAGGGACTCGCTGGAAGGGGTCGCACGCCATCATATTCCTCAGCTCTGGTCGACGAAGCAAATAGGAAATGGGGAGCACCTCCAGTCCGGCGGAAGCCCATTGGAGTTCCCGTCCCACTGCCGCAACAGCAGCAGCAGCAGCAGCAGCAGCCGCAGCCGCAGATGGGAATGCAACCGACCCCAGTTACTCGTACGAGTACAAGTTCGTCACTGCGTGGGATGATGAACACTCTCAAGTCAAAAGCCCAAGTCGAAGCTCGCGCTTTGGCAAAGACAGTGAAACAGTACCAAAATGAGCACAGCCATGGAGCCCAGTCTCAGAATCATGGTGGCCAATACCAATCTTATGGAGCTGCGCCTGATGGCAGTCCCTACGCGAGCCCAGGCGGGCAGACCTACCAGTATAACCCCGGTGCACAACCCTCAACCCCTCAGGCTCAGTTTCAAGCTCCTTTGCAGCAGCCAACGACACAAACTTACCAGTATCAATATCCAGGCGCAGTGCAGTCACCTATCACTCAACCGACGGGCCCGTCAACCCCAGGAGGATATGCATATGGCGGGTCATCCCAGCCGTTGCAATCGAATCCGGCCACTCCGGCGCAAAACCCTACAGGAGCGTATTACTCGAGCACCGTAGATGTTCAAAGCCAGCCGTATGCTGCAACACCTGCTAGCCAATATCAGTATAACCTCCCAGGTGCCTCTACTTTCCAGAGCCAATACCCTGTCGCAGATGCTGGTGCATCAGCATATACATATCCACAAACAGGGTCTGCTCCTCCTGGACAACCTCCCTTGACGGATCCAAATCTCAACATTGCCAGTTCGCCATCTGTAGCCAATGTTTCTTATGGGTCCCAATACCCAGACACGGGAGCGGCCGTCCCAATCTCGCAAGGACAGCAGGACACGGCAGAGAGTGGTTATGTGTACCCGGGCACTGCTGCCGCCTTACCTGGTCTACAGCCAAGTGTTCCCCCAACTGGCTACACATATCCCGGCACTGCTCCAACTTTATCCGGACCACAGCAGGCTGTACCTGAGCAAGGTTACGGATATCCTGGCACTGCGGCTGCCTTGTCAGGGCCCCAGACAGGTGAACATCTACTGGCGACTACAAATGTGATCACTCAGGATCAGCAACATCAACAGCAACAGCCCTTGGAGAACACTAGCGTCGATATCCAGCCGCCTCATATTCCTGCTCCGTCAGATGGTGTCACTCATCAGGTCAGCTCTAGGATAGAATCAACACTCCAGGATGGGAATGTTGCTATTACTTCAGATACGCCAGTTGTTGCTCCAAAGCCCAGTACCAGGATCCATGCCACCCTCCTTGATCCTAGCCTAGCCGACAGCCCAGAATCACCGCCTTCTGCTCCTCAATCGAATTCTAGAATAGAGGCTGCACTTCAAGAACCGATCTATGCTCCTGGACCGATCACTGCAGCCGCTGAATCTCAGCCAAATGCTAGAATAAGTGACGCTCTTCAAGAAGAGCAGAAGCCCAACCCTGATCCCATAATGACACCACCGACAGCACTGGAGAATGGCTCTTCTGTTAGAGAACAACCCGCCACATTGCCTCCACCTCAAACACAACAGACTGCCGAAATATTAGGCCCTTCCGTTTCTGCTGCTCCGGCTACCTTTTCGATTATGCCTTTGGGCGTGGAGGAAGTGAGACCTTTACAGGCAACCCAGTCTTTGCCACCCGCAACAGGAGAACAAACATCAACCACCTCGCAAGAAACTCCAGGACCGGCACAGCATCATGTATATCCAGCTACCGCGGGGCCGGAACCTCTTGATTTCTACGCTCCAGCGACTGTCCCTGGCCTCTCTCCATATGGACAATTCAGCCCTGCCCCGCCTGTGGTTGAGCAGAACCCAATGCCAAACCTGAATGCCCCGGTGCAACCAACTCCTGTTGTCTCGGAGACAATTCAGGACCATGGGCTGCCGAATTTACCCCCTGGTCCTCCGCCTGGCGCCCTGCCCGTCCAGGACTTCTACGCCCCTGCTATGCCACCACCTCCTGGAGTAGGGCAGGCTTCCTTCTACGAATTCCAGCCTCCTGCTCAACTTCCACCCCCTGGGCCTCCCGCAGAGGCACAGCCTGAGGCCTCTAGCTCTGGGGACATAAGCTATGTCATCGATGGCATGGGTAAGCTGTCGGTCGTTAGGGGGACTGCTGTTGAGCCGTTCAGAGATTTCCACAGCGCAGCCTATACGAAAGACAGGACATGGATTGAGGATGTCCCACGCCGGCTACCCCCTCAACTTTCCAAGGATGGACAGCCAAACGAAGCCGTGTGGTTTTGTCCAGGCAATACACACGATAACGGCTACGTTGCGAACTGGTTTTACCTACCCAGCGCGCCTGATTTCTTGATCTGCACCCGGTGCTATGCAACACATCTAAAGAACACCAACTTGGCATCTAGTTTTGAGAAGAAAAAGACGCACGGCGCGAGATGCCGCTTTAACATCCCCCGCATAACCTCCGTACTCGTCCCGCAATGTGTACAGACGGGAAGCGTTGAGCCCCTGGCAGAGTACATGGCAAAGCGGATTGGTATCAAGGATTGCGCTCTGAAGCAAGGGTTCACGGGATCTGACGGGATCAAGGTGTGGGTGATCGGGAGAGAAACAAACGACATCATGAAGAACTTCATTGCCTGCCAGGCATGCTACGAGGATCACGTTCTGGCAAGTAATTATGCTGGGGAATTCATTCCTAGGCAGGAGAAATACCCCGAACCGCAGGCAGCGAGTTCGAAGTGGTTTTGCGACCTCAACGCCTTTGGTTATTCGAGAAGGTCCTTTACCATTTACTCGAGAAACAACGCCCCATTCATGGACTGGGCTACTAAAGCGACGAAATTGTTCCAGCTTCCGGATTGTGAAGCTGACCAGGGTGTGGAGTCATCCAGTCGAGAATGGGTTCGGCCAAAGGACCCAGTAGAGACGATGGTCATTTGTGAGAAATGCTACTTTAATGAGTTGTGCTGGACGACCCTAGAGGACGCTTTCGAATACATACCAATAGAGAAGCCCGTCAGGGGTTCGGAGCGCATGGATTATATTTTCGGAATCCGGGAAACCCAGGCAACATCATGGACATGGTAAGATCGCCCATTCTTGTCGTGAGAGACGCCTTGTTGGCTCGTGCTTCAACCTACTAACCACTGTGCCATAGTGATGCTCGTCTATCTCAGATGGAAAATGTGCTGGCTGGAGCCCTCATGCAACAGGACGCGGCTGTGTTCAGCAGATGTGCTCGCACAGTCATGTCGGGTCCCAAATGCGTGCCCGAAGGTATCGCCAATGGGACCTGGTACACCCCCAAAGGCGGCCCGAGCAACTACATGATGTGCGCTGCCTGCTTCGCTGGGTTCTGCGACGCGTTCCTGGAATGCGGCCACATGTTCGAACTGAGCCCCCACAGCGGATCTTCTGACACAATCGTCTGCAGCTTCAACAGCGCCAGCCCACGGCGGTATCAGTTCCTGTTTAGCATGTACCAGGCGGCGCAGGAGGGCGTCTGGTCCATTGCGCTGGACACGATTCGGAACTATATCAACATACCCGAGTGCCCGCGCAACAACCACGTCGCGAGTCGCAGATGGTATGGATGGGGCGACTGTCTAATCTGCCAAGACTGCTACCAGGAGGTGATCAAGGACATGAGGAAAGGTCTCCCATTCGAGCTGGAGGATCAGTTAGTGGCGGAGGAACGTATGTGCTCCATGTACTCCCCGCGCATGCGTGAGAAGTTCAGTCTGGCAGTTGAGAAGGGCGATTCTACGGAGCTTGTCGAATACTCGCGGGTGCGCATTCAGGTCTGGACACAGACCATACCGCAGATCAAGATGCTGCGACAGATGCAGGAGATGCAGATGATGTCCGCCATGTCAGCTGGCATGGCCGGGCTAATGTACCAGGGCGCAGGGGCCATCCAGAGTATTGGCGGAACGACTGACGGATATCTACATGGTAACAGCAGTGTTGGATGGCATGACACGGAGAATGGCGCAATGAGTGGCCAGAAGTTTAATGAGATGAGCAGCGGGATGAGTGCGGCGAACAGTGGAGGCAATTGGGGGCAGATCTTCATGCTGCAGGCGCAATGGGAGCGGTATGAGTAGTCTATCAGGTTTAGCATGAATTTCTATCAGGTTTAGCATGAATTTCTATCAGACGTAGCATGAATTGAATGAATGGAAGACGACGAGTTGATGAAATTAATGACAATGCATCATTCAAATGAAAGATGAATGAAAGATGCAGTCAGCCAGAGCCAAGCCACAGCCGTTATCTGCTATCTCGCTTTGTCAGGAGAAATGTGGGGCAAATCGGATACCCGATTACCCGAGTTCCCGCTGACGGACGAGCAGCAACTTCGACTTGCTCCCACTCCAACCAAGCAACCGCTCAAGCTTCGATCACGACACAATCACCCCTATCCACTCCCCTAGCGATATTAACCGCACTCTGAGCACCTGCTGCTATGGAGACAACCGATAGCCTAGCATCTAAGCGCAGGTTGACCCGCTCGTCGCTGGCCTGCCTCCCCTGTCGTTCCCGCCACATCAAATGTGATGGCCAACGCCCGCGATGCGCCAGGTGTGTCGAGACCTCCAAGGAATGTGACTACACCGAGTCTCGTCGTGGTGGGCTTGACCGTGCTGCGCTGGCAGAACGACGCAGGAAGCTGACTGCCGCTGAGAGTGGCTATCCTCCAAGCCCGCCTAGGTCGACGGGGCTTCAGCAGGATCACAACGGCCTTGACCTCGCTGAGGATGTTGATATTGGCATCGAATGGGTCAGTGAAATCACACCGCCACTCTCTATTGATTACAATATTCCCAATCCGGGAACCCTTGACCCCTTGGTGGACTCATACTACAAGAACTTCCACAAGTTTCACCCCGTGGCTCCCCCCCGAAACCACCTGATTAGACTTTGCCAAGACATGGTCAGGGCAAACCAACTGAATCCCTTGATCCATGTTTTGCGATTTATTGGCCATATATACAGCTATCGAGAATGGTCGACCCCACTAAGGAGTTCCCTTGAAGCCTCACTCACGCAAGTCCCAGACAAAGATCCTATCGCGGCCCTATGCCGGCTTCTATACTCCATCCCGCTGTTTTGGTTTGGCTACAATGCAGAGGCTAAGCAACAAATGGACATGGCTGCCACGATTGCCCTTGAGCTAGGAATGTATCAACAGGGGTTTGCGCCGCTTCATGGCAGCGGAGACCCCGTTCTGGCCGAGATGTGGCGCAGGACCTGGTGGCTGCTTTACGTTGTCGATTGCTCTTACGCAGGGACATTGGGTACTAGGATTTTCGCCTTCCAGCATGTCAAGCACACCACTGACTTGCCATGCGAAGACCACGAGTACGAATCTGGAGTATGTCTTTCAGGCACCCCTTTCATTGCTGTTGTTGAATCTCTGTCGTGATACTAACCGGCCGTCATCTAGGACATCCCAGAGCCTCGAACTCTCGAAGAGTTTGACTCCCGGGAGTTCAGCTTCGAGGAAACCTGTTTCTCCTCCTTCGCCTATCTTATCGGTGCTGTACGATGCGGCATATCGGCCATGACTAGCTTGCCACAATTCGTCACCAAAGAGGACTCGGAACAGTTGATTCAGAAATTCGACTCAACCGCCGATGCGTGGCTTCTTCTTCTCCCCAAGTCCAAGCAAGTCATGTCCAAGACTGGGGAGATTGATGAGCTCATGTTCCAGGCGCACCTAATCCTTCATGTGTAAGTCTGCACGCGCACGGATGTCATGTTGCAAAATGCTGATCTCTTTTTCTTTTTATCCCAGTGCTACTATTGGTCTGCATAGGCCGTTATCGGATCTCAAATTCAACGCGGTCGAGGACATATCCAGCTGTGCTCGAGAGCCCCCGCCAGACACACCAACACCTGAGCTTGTGAACGTGCACACGGTGCGGATTTTGCGCGCGGTTGAGGCCCAGATACGTCTCTTAGCGTTGCCAGTTAGGCCCTTCCACCACTCGCCATTCACGACCTGCACAGTCAGTGAGGGCACCCTTGCGTTGCTCTCTGCCTGCAATTATCTGTTGAAGGGAAGGGATCTCGAAGTGGCAAGGGATCAAATCCGCCTTCAGATCGGATGTCTCAAGGTGCTGGCCGAACTGTGGCCCAGGACCGCCCGCAATGTCAAGGAGATTCAGATCATCGCACGCCACGTACTCAAGTTGGAATACAGGAACGATGGGACCAGCAGCGAATCATCCGGTTCAAACCAAGGGTCAAGCCTTTTACGTGGAAGTACAGGTGTATGCGATCAAGACGGGTCACCAAGCGGTAATATCTTTGCCAATGCCGACCTGATGGATGGAGCTTGCGGATGGTATGGTACCCTTGGCCCAGATGGAGGCATTTCCAATTGGTGGATGAATGAATAGCATGGAATCAGATGCGAAGAATGGGAATTGACGGCTGGTGTGATATGAATTCATTCACCTTGTATTATTTGTATAGATAGGGTTGGCGCTGTAAAGGCTGTCATCATTTGTCGATTTCGCTGGAAATAGTCCCGGCACTTACATTCTAATTAGACGTAGATTAATGACTTAACGAGGAATACACGTCACTGAGGCACTTCAACCAGGCAATCATCATGAAACACAGGCATGAGCCTATGGCTGCTTTTAGTGGCAGTGACCCATTAATTTGCCAACCTCCGCCTCAATTTCTTCAGTTCTAAAATAGCGATTTTGGCCCCATATGACGCCTGTGTCAGACATAAAGTAGCCTCCATCACATAGGCTGTATCTATTCTTAGCCCATTCTTCTCTTCCCCTTCACATCGCTTGACCAAGCTTCGAGACAATTATAAGAATCAATTCCAGGCGCCCCCGAGACCCAACGTAATAGACCACCCCTTCGAGCTGGGCAACGGATTATTCGAGCAATGGCAGCGGAACAACGCCGAATGCAGATGGCAATGGAGGCTATGAGACGACGGAGGATGGAAGGGGCTCAGCGGCAGCAAATAGCTCAGAGGCAGCCGAACTCCAACATCATGCATTCTATTCATGATGACATACCTATCATGGAGCCTGAAGATGCCGATTACATTGGCTTGAGGCCGTACTCCTCCACCCTCCCATCCCCGTTTCAGTCAACTTGTCGAAAAGGGCCGGTAGATGCGATACGGGCAGCGATTGGCTCGAAAACTCCCACGCCGGCATTTCTTCATCATGGCCTTGTTGCGGCCCTGAATGGTGGCAATGTCGAGGCCACTCGCTACCTTCTAGAAAGCGGTGCGCCAGTCGCTCGGCTGGTTGTTCACAATGTCCTTGGGGCACCATCTGATCGCCAGGGCCCCCTTCTTGATCTTTTGGCAGACCATGGCTGGAGTCCCAACTCCCCATACTATCAAGGGGCTGTCATACTTCCCAGAGTTGTCACAAACATCAGCGTCCTTCGATGGCTTCTAGACCACGGAGTAAACCCTAATCACAGTACTCAGTACAAATATCTGACCGGGACCGGTGAGCCTGAATCGAGTTCATGTGCCGCGCTCGAGGCAGCTGCCACGCGAGGGACAGCAGAAGCAGTGAAGATGCTATTGGAAGCAGGTGCCGAAGTCGAGAACGGCACGCCGCTACACTTTGCCGCGGGAGCATCTCCGCCAGGAGCAAACCCTCACGCCGGCCGAGTTACGCCAACCAAGGAATTTGACATGGCCAGGATACCGGTGATGAGCCTGCTCGTCGAGCGAGGCGCCAAGGTGAATCAAAGAGCCGAAACCCGCCACATGGTACCACGGTATCCCATTGTGCACGCTGTGATGGCAGGGGCGATTGAGCGAGTGAGATGGCTACTGCAACATGGGGCTGATCCGCATCTGAAAGGGAACTTTGGGAGTGCGATGGAATGTGCAAAACATGGAAGCGAGGAAATGAGAAAAGTTCTCAGGGAGGGTGGTGCAACAGTAAAAAGCATTGATGATGAAGGCGATGGACAGGAAGAGACACAAGGAGGTGAAACTAACTAGCAAACTGAGCTCGTCACGCTCGGAAATAATTCAATTTGTTTGAGAGAATTCTTCTCCTTGCTTGAAATCATTGGCTTCTATTACATTCACTCCCGGCCACTCGCGCCTCAGGCGTTCTCTTCCTCTGTATCAGAACGATCCCGACTATTTCCACCCAAACCCCAGTCTAAAATGTCTGGATATCTCTTGATATAGAACCGCAGCCCGAGAATCGAAAGAATGCTACCGACACTGAAAGCTGCCGCAAGAGGGAAGCCAATTGGGTATTTCGGAGAATCAGCTACTCGCCAGGCTCTCAATGGGATGGAAGCATGCCCAGCGTACACAAGAGTGACGGCGAGGGCAACCAGAATCGACCGAACCTCAGGCTCCTTGCGCAGAATCTCAGCAAGCCATGCAATCAACGCGTAACCCCACGCTGCCGTCGCAAAGGTGAGGAAGTAAAAAGCCATGATGACTTTCCATGAGCCGGGCCAGCCAGAGAGGACAGATGTGGCGATGAGCTGAAGAGTTGCCGCACCAACTGACACCTGCCAGCGCCAGCCTTTCCAGTCACTGATCGCGTTCAACCCAATGTTGCAGACGATGCTAATCCCGTATCCTCCCAAAGGGATCAGGTTGACGGTATAGACGGAGTATCGAGCTGTTCCGTCGGCGTTCGTCAGGCCCTTGAGGAAGAGAAGGAAGTAGGAGTTGGCCCTCTGGCTCCATGCGAATTGAAGATAGGCCGCAAGGAAGAGGTATGAGATCGGACTCTTCAGCAAGAGCTTGATCTTTTGCAGTAGAACCTTGAAAGGGATGATGTCTGACGTCTTGGTTCCATGGTCATTCATTCGAGTTTTGGCGAGCTCTCTCTCTTCTTCTGTAAGCCACAGAGCCCTGCTAATGGCAGGAGAATCTGGAATGATTACCAGACCAATAATTCCCCAAAAGATCGTCATGGCCCCGGACACGATGAAGAGCCACTGCCAACCTGCAATCCCGAGCGACCCGTTGAGATTGTTGTACAGCGCGGCTTGTACAATGCCCAAGAACATGTTTCCGGCCACGCCGCTAACACCAAAGATGGCGAGCCGCTTGCCAAGCTCCTTGGGCGTGTACCAATTGAATATCAGGTTCACGATACCGGGCCAGGATGTAGATTCAAAGACACCGAGAAAGAAGCGCAGGGCGAAGACGGTCTTCGCGTTGGGGGCCGCATATGTAAAGAGGGTGAAAAGGCCCCAGATAATTTCGCAAATAGGTAGGAAGATTGACGGCCTAACCTTTGTCTGGATGAGCTGAGAAGGCACAATGAATAGAGCGTATCCGATTGAGAAATAGGTCGTGAACTCGACCAGTTCGTTGCCGTACAGGGCAAGATCCTCTTTCATCCCAGATACGTAGGCTGCTGTCGTCGCCGACTGGTCCATGTCCTTGAACAGTCCAGCGATGAATGCCCATACTAGAAGCAGCAGGTCGAGTTTGAAGACTAGTACATGGGCTGGGTCCTTGAAATACGGGTGTACTCTTGCGAGCCACGACGTAGATTCTTGTGGAGGAACATATCGATGCTCCTCGGACTCTGCGTCCTGTTTGAGGCTTGCAGGTGCCACCATCTCCAAGCTTGTCTCTATGGAGAGAAAGAAGACACAGGATACTACCGGTGTTGAATTTCGGGAACTTATAGCGGAAGAAGTAGGGAAAGCTGACGAGATTGTAGCAGATCTTTATATGATCTACCTTGAGGATAAATCGGCCACAAACCGAACAAATTTCACTCAATGCCAGCTAGCAGGCCTGAAGACACTGCTGACCCTGTCTTTTCTTAGCCGGACGACTGGGGTGGCCATCACGATACTGAGACTAGAGATGACGCAAAACACTATCGATACAAGCTTCATCCATGACCCAGCCACATGGATCTCCTCTGGCCCACATCTGCCACAATATATTAAAGATATGCTTCAACTGCCGTGCATATTGTTCTCCACTAGAAAGACTCATATAATGCGGTCAGCTCGCTTGCTTAGCAATGTGAATTAGGGTGCACCGTGATGGTTGGGATGCACCGTGATGGGCAACTACCAATGATAGCGCTGGCTGACACTGAACCGGTCCAAATTCCAGCCAGACTAAGCATGCCGAAAGCCACGAGATGTATGATTGATTGGTTGTTGGTTCATTACGCCATCAGCAGAAGCAATTGCGGAAGACTGCAACGTCGCCCGTTCGCCGAAATACACCAGAATTTCCACTTTGGTGGAGTCGGGCCAAGCCCGATAGCTCATGCAGCTCAAGTCGTTCATGCCGGCTTCGGCCGTTGTTTGAACTTATTCCCGTATGGCAGCTTCCAAGATAAAGCGGTCGCCGGTAGCATGAGAAAGCCACCTGAACATGGATGGAATCATCTTTGACCTCATCGTAACATAAGTGAGAAATCATGTCATCCGAACCATTGTATCCCAACTACTTGCCTACCCGGCCAGATGGGTATGCCACCCCAACCGCTCTGCCTCCGTTTGCTGGAGACGAGCCAGGATTGCGAGCAGACCCCGCCAAACCGTCCCTCCTGGCCAAGGGCGCCAGTGTCTCTCGCATCACCCCGAGAATAGGTGCTGAAATCAGGGGCGTCCAGATCAGTCAGTTGGGAAAGGAGGGACTGGATGAGATAGCTCTTCTAGCCGCCGAGAGAGGCGTTCTAGTGTTTGTGAGTGAATGACGTGCTTTTACCCCAAGCGCTGAAGCTAACAAAGCACTGGGTAGAGAGATCAAGATTTCGCAGACGTTGGGTTCGATCGCCAGCGGGAGATCGTCAAGCATTACGGACCACTCCATCTCCATCCTTCCATGGGGTATCCCGAGGGGACAGGCCCTGAATTCCACGTGGTCTATGCAGACGAAAAAGCGTAAGAGCCCCCAGAGCACTGTGTGAAATCTGGGATAGGACTGACTCCTGCTGCAGCGGAAACTTGAGAACCCTATTGGGTGCTCGAACCACCTATGACCTATGGCACATCGATCAGACATTCACTCCCAATGTCCCATCGACCACCTTCTTTTGGGTTCTGGAAAGCCCCAAGGCGGGAGGAGGTGATACAGCCTTCACATCGCTCACTGCGGCATATGAGGCTCTCTCTCCCGCGTTTAGAGAAACCCTCCACTCTCTCAAGCTACTTCACACGTCGGCATCTGAAGGCGAGGTGAGACGAGTCGGCGCAGAGCGAGCTCTTGCTGAAGCGATCAACGCTACTCATCCCCTCGTCATAAAGCATCCAGTGACGGGTAAGCCGGCACTATTCGTGAACCCAACGATCGCGCGCCAAGTTGAAGGGTTCCTACCCGAGGAGTCGCAGAACCTGTTGTCCTTTCTACATAACCACATACGTAGCCTGGACTTTAGCTGTCGTGTACGATGGGAGC